AAATTCATGAAGTCTAGATGACATAGACGATAATTCATCAGAACAATTACCATGAAATTATTTATAGGAAATGCACAGAAAAGCTAAATTACAGTGGTTGGGAAATGACTGGACCCGAGATGCCGCATAAGGTCAATAACATTGCAGAGTTTTCTTTGGATTTTATCAAGAATCTCTAAATATACAGCAGAAACACAAAACCAGATGTGGCAGTAATATTTTAAGCAACGTTGAATGGTGGCCTTATAAATAGGTGTGGGTACCTTGCATTATTAAAATATTCATAGAAATTCTTTACTCGACTTAGAAAAATAATTGAGTTGAAAATAATCACAGTGAACCAAAGAAGAAGGGAAAAAGAAAAGAGGAAGAGAAAAAAAAAAGGAAAGAGAGGTGATGCCCCGGTCATATGCGGAAACAGATCTAACATGTTGGCAATTTTAAAAGATTTGTTAAAATTTTTAGAGAGAAAGGACCAGCTTGATGACAGTTTGGTGTTTGATAAGAATATCAAAGCATCTGAAAAAGACTCATTATCAATTTGGAGAAAGGGAAATTTTTTTTTAGAACAATAGGTAATGAAAAAAAGTATGCATTGTTCTCCTGTTAAAATTGAAACCCACGATAATAAAGTTTCAATGTAGATAATTAAGTAACTATCAGGTCTGACCGACAGGTGAAGAAGGCGAATGTCCCTCTGGCCAGATAGCGCCAATATTCTTTCCTGAAGTCAACAATCTTTTTGACAGAACTGAGTAATTTTATGTTGAATTAGGCAGTTTTTTTGTTTTTTTTTTTAGAACAAGAACGATGTAAACCACGCCTTTACAATTTAACCAGAATTCATTAGTCTGGTGGAAAAGAGGAGAAAGAATGCCAAGAACCATTGGTCGAAAAGGCAGGACTTGGATATGCGCCTCCCACCAAAGGCACTATGAGGAAAAAAATAATAGCAAATGGGAAATCAGAAGCAATGCGACTTTGAAATTATCGTGACCCGACAAACCCACCCCCGGTTTGTTGTTTTATGGATGAGCCTGAACGCGGGCATCAGGCCCGATTCACTCGCCCCTTTGCGGGCAATGTTCGATAAAGGGACGCCAAGAGTTGCAGACATACCAGAGTTACGGCAGAGTTCAGCCCCGAAAGAAGATCCAGGAGTTGGAAGTTGCGGCAAGAAATCCTTCCCAGACAAATTGACGAAGAAGAAGATACCTGATTTGACAGGCCGAAGAGTTGCAGGCCAGACAAGAAGTATTCGTTCCACCTCAGTCGAAGAAAAAGAGGTAAAGAAGAAGAAGTTGAAATCAAGAACCTATACTGGCAACTCAAGTCGAAGAGAAGAATCAACTGCGAATGATTGACCTGCGAACTAGACCACACCCGACATACAAAATTCTAAAAAGTAGGCAATTCGAAATCTTTGTTGTATGATATTAAATAGTCCAAAAGCGGGTCGGGAAATAAGAAACAATTTTTCTTTATGTAACGGACAAGATATAAAAAGTTGTCACCCTTTTTTTACTTATCAATAATTTTTGTCTCGTGAGTTTTTTTTTTTTTACTTGCCAGACCCGTCGGACTCAACTTGTATAGCCCCAATCGATTCTCCCGTCTGTCTAAGAAAACACAGCGTGGGTAGAGTCCTACCAGGTATTGGAAGCGAGTTCATCATCTAACCAACGGGGGTTGGAGCGGCACGCTTGGAACCAGCCGTCAATGTTAACAATTCGACCATGGGCCAGGTAGACCACGTCACATAGGTAAGATAGATTCTGACTAGAAAAAATGTCTAGTCACAGTGAACCAACATTCCTGGATCAGAATTGGAATTTTCTAGGTTATGTCAGCAGAAAAACTTAGGTGAAGGTAATGAAAAATATGCATTGTTCTCAAAGAAGTAACGTATGGTAAGTCATAGTTTTGAAGTGAAAATCTTATGAGTAAATGTTGAATTAGGATTAAACCCTTACAATTTTATTCTGTGACTGGCCTTGTAGGCGGACTTTGTAGGAAAAAACAAAAACGTGTACCTGTGTTTTATGGATGACGCAAATACGTTCGAGAAACTTGACAAATTGATATATTTGAAGAATATTCAAAATCAAGAACCTATACAAAAAATTGGACCGAAAATGAAATATATTAAATATCAAAAGGTGGGAAGTGTTTTAACTTATTTAAGTGGACGATTCTAAGAAAAATAGAGTCCTACACTAAAATAAGTTAACAATTGGTATCCTAGGAAAGTGTTGACGGCAGACGGAAAAGAGAGCTACAAATCTCTTACAGAAGATAGTGAAGGAAAGCGTAAAGAAAGGATTAAACATCAAAAGGATGAACCCAAAGTGAGAATCCAAAATCAAAAAATTGCAAAATCTGTGTTTTATGGACGGAAAGAGTCACTAAAAATTTTGTATCCTTCTCTCTCTTCATTATCTATGTATTCTATGTATTTATGGACGTTCATTATCTATGTATCTATCTATCTATGGATTTTCCTCTTGACTATTAATGAACACCCCATAGAGCCAACGCTAGCATTTTGTAAAACAATTTTTAGCTCCAATAATGAAAAAATACTGATGATCAATCATAATTGTTTTTACTGTATCACAAAGTGGCTAAAGTTAACGGAATCCTAGCAGAAAAACGATAACATCAGTCGGCAGTGATTAACCGGCCGCTGACTATTCTTATGTTGCCTGGCCTCAAAAGGAATCTAAACCGAGACAATATCATTAAAATATATAATTTTCTTATCAATCATGGGAACAATTATAAAAAAAAAATCCCAGAAGCCTCATAATTATCATAAAACATAGGGAATTATAAAATTCAACAACGAATACTTTTAACTTTCGGGCTTCATTGCTTTTGACAATATTATTTTTATTATTAGCGGAATATTTATGAGAATTGTAGTATAAAAACAGTAAAATCGACCTTGCTAACCGAAACGCTCCTCTGTGGCTGAATCGGTAAAAGCACGTCAGGCTATGTGACGGTTGCATATCGGACAGAGGTTCGATTCATGTCGGAGGACGCATAATTTCTATGAAAATTTCTCGGACATTCAGGCCGGTAAATGTCGTTGAATACTGTTTATTATAAACAGAGCATTTACTTAAATATTTGTATCAATAAAAAGAACGTATAAACATTATATATATATATATATATATATATATATATATATATATATATATATATATATATATATAAACTTTAAAGAGCCAGACAAACCTACCCAGGTTTCACCTAAGCGGATCGTCAGGAAAACCTGGTAGGTCTGTCTGGCTCACTAGGTTTATCTAGGTCTGCTCTACGGTTGTATTGAGCTCTTTTAGTTAGTTAGTTGTTTCCTCGTGTCGGGGTTTTTTCTTTGGGCTTTAAACTTGTATCTGTGCGATTTTTACGACAGAATTTCATGTTTCCAGCTCTTTCTTTTTTTAAAACCTTTTTTTCATTCGAGATTGATTTTATTATTGGCAAATCAAAAATTCGATGGTTTTTAAACGAGTATAGTTATATATATATATATATATATATATATATATATATATATATATATATATAAATTGTATTTATAGAATATCGCACATTGAGAGCTGTTGTTAATTAAATAAATCTTGATGTATAATAACAGAAATATAATTCATATTAATAATAAATATACATTTTTTTCACATGGGTAGCGAACTAATGCCCTGAGTCATCACGTGCTGATAGAAAAACTGACGTTACCTAATTTAAATATTGATAACGAAGTGTTGTGCTACCGGCGAGAAATATATATATATATATATATATATATATATATATATATATATATATATATATATATATATATATATGCGTGTGTGTTTTGTTTGTGTAAAAGGAATATATATTACATTTTTAATTTTTGATTGCATTTTAAAGTGTATCACAACAACCGTTAAAGCTAAAATCTGTCATCACTTCCATTATTTTTTTTTTTTAATAATATCTTCTTTCATAATTTGATGATATTAATTTCAGTATAGGTCCATAGGTGCAGTGGCAGAGGAGAGTAGGCGAATCGTGATGATAAATAAACAATTAAAGATTTACGAAACAGTTTGAAAAAATTCGTATGCCAAAAATGAATATGATTTCAAAATTTTAAATATTATTATAAATAATCTATAATTGCATGCATGAGTCCCAGTATAAAAGGTTATAAATAATTATTGACCGATTCCATCATTGTGATATGTTTGCATTATATCAAGTATATAAGAATATAGAGGAGGAATTGGAAGAGAGAGTTATCAATGGTAATGTTCTGACTTTGAATCCGCGGTTATCTCCCCTTAACTCTCTCTCTCTCTCTCTCTCTCTCTCTCTTTTTAATGTACTTTTTATCATATAGTATTTAGTAAAGCGTGAGAAAATTTTAATTATGTAAATGAGATCCTGAGAAAAAATGTTTGGGAATCACAAGGATCGTGAAATATAAATAGCAGTCATTAAGATTGTCCCACATGCAATGAATAGGATATTACATTGACAAAAAATGTCCAACGCTAGGATAAGGACTTTATTTTTTGGAATGAAATTTTCATTTTCTGTTAATTTTACTAGAGTATTTGTAAATGCTATCAAATTTTGATTATCGTTTCAAACAAATGCTTAATTTTCTCTGAGATCTTACTACATTTTAACACAGCTACTTATTAAGTTAAAGATTCCATCCTCTTTTTTTAATCACCTGCAATAATATAATTACATCTCAGTTTATATACTTATATGCAAATTAGAATTTTAATAAGTAATCTTATTCCATTTACTAAAACTCTCTTCCATGTAGATTAAAACATCAAAAAGGTTCAACTCATGAACTCAATTCAGTGTTAGGTTCTGTCACCATGACTTGAATCATACAGTAATGTACTGTAACCATTGAGCTACACAATGAAATATCTAATATAGATTTTTTTTTTTTTGTGGCCTGAGTACCCGGGGTGCCACACTGTATGCCTCTATTGGACTTCTTTTGTTTCCTTCCAACGCCAACTTGCTACACATCCATCAATGGGGGTCGGATAATAAGCTTCTTATAAATTTCTCTATCTTTTAATCAGCACACGCAGGCGCAAAAACATCTCACCCCTCGTCTCTCTTTCATTTTGCCGCTCCATTTTTCTCGTTTTACCTTGCTGATTGGCTCTCTACTCCCTCCCTCCCTCAATTTATCCCTATCTATCTTTCTCTCTCTCTCTCTCACACACACACACTCTATCTATCTATCTATCTATCTATCTATCTATCTATCTATCTCTCCCTCCCTCCATCCCTCTCTCTCTCTCTCTCTCTTTCTCTCTCTCTCTCTCCGAGACTCGTTTCCTTTGCTGCCTCGCTTTTCTCTTTGAAGTTGACTTATCTCGAGGAACACCGAGTGTCGGTCTTAGGGTCTTCATCTAATCTTGGCCAAAGACCGCCAAGGGCAGATCTTTCCATCAGATTAAGGCGAGCGACGAGCATGAGTGCGAGGAATCGGGCTGGAAAGATAAGGTAAAGGCAATCAAGACTCACGTTGCGAAGGGTTGACTCAGTGAAGATGTGGCAGAGACAAAGTGTTTGCGCTTTCCCAGCGCAGGTATGCAGGGTGAGGTGCCCATGAGTGAGTAAATGCGAGATTTGGAAGTGGTGCTTCTCTAAGAAAATGTATACAACTAGCTGAGGAAGCTGAAAGAATGCGAGCATCCTCATATACATCGGTACTGATTTTATGTATCTATCTATCTATTTATCTATCTATCTATCTCAAGTTAACGAACAAACCTGCTCAGTGAGCCTATTTATCATCATGGTTCTGTATCTGTAAGTTACTCTATCTTACTCTGATCACACATCTTTTGTGCACATCTATCTATCTATCTATCTATCTATCTATCTATCTATTCTCAAGACTGATGATATCTATCTATCTATCTATCTATCTATCTATCTCAAGACTGAATATCTATCTATCTATCTATCTATCTATCTATCTATCTATTTACCAACTAACATGTTCTTAATTCTATCTATCTATCTATCTATCTATCTATCTATCTATCTATCTATCTATCTACCAACCAACATGTTCTAAATTCTATCTATCTATCTATCTATCTATCTATCTATCTATCTATCTATCTATCTATCTGCGAACCAACCAATCCTGTTCTTAATTGTATCTATCTATCTATCTATCTATCTATCTATCTATCTATCTATCTATCTATCTATCTCAAGTTAACGAACAAACCTGCTCAGTGAGCCTATTTATCATCATGGTTCTGTATCTGTAAGTTACTCTATCTTACTCTGATCACACATCTTTTGTGCACATGCATCTATCTATCTATTTACCAACCAACATTTTACCATCTATCTATCTATCATGTTCTATCTATCATCTACAGACCAACCAATCCTGTTCTTAATTTTATCTATCTATCTATCTATCTATCTATCTATCTATCTATCTCGAAGTAGCGAACATACGTTCAATCAGCTGCTGTCTTCAATTTTTATAAGTAGATATGTTTTGCAATACGCTTACCCGTTTTGAAATCCTCACAGTATTTAATATTGTTGAAGTTATCGCTTCTTCTGCCCATTTGAATCTCTCCACTGTGTTTATATTTACAGCCTACTACTAAAAATTGCCTTTTACCAGAATTATATATATATATATATATATATATATATATATATATATATATATATATAAGATATGCTAAAGGAATATTTCATTTTTAGTAAATATGTATTTGTTGTTTTAATTATTAAATTGTTGTTAAAATAGAGGGAGTATTTTGTATATTTAATAATAAAACTTTTCATTTTTCTAAAAGAATTAATGGAAATTTATTGTATTAAACTACGCATCCTAGTAAAAGCAACCGTAATTTGTACCCCAAAACTTGTTTCCACTTCTTTCCAACTTTTGGTTTCGATCGGTCAATGTTTGGCAATTTTAGCGGACTAATGCAATTAACATAATTTTATATATAGATTTTTCTAGGTGTTTCAATAAGATCTCTCTCACTCTACACACATAGAAAGACACCCACATACACGCGCACATACACACATACACATATATATATATATGTGTGCGTTTCCACAGTAGATACACCAATTCTTGACAAACAACAAGACTTCCAATAAACTCTTTTCAGTAGTAGATGGATAGAAATCCTTAATATCATATTTAATGAACCCTATATTAGACTTCTCGGGAATGTTTTCCAACTACAAAATCTAATCTGATGTGGTCTTCCACCAGTTGCCTGAACTAGACCTTGGCGGTCGAAACCGCAGTAGTGTTCCGGTCATGGCCCTTATCTTTTATATATATATATATATATATATATATGTTTGAATAAAAAACAGACCACGTTAAGATTCCATGTAATAAGCTATTTCACCATAACCCCTTTAACAGGGTTCTGGATCATCCCTTCCAAAGTGTGTCGGCTTTTAATGAAAAAAGGTCTTATATTTTAGACGGACCTCATCAAATTTGAGCAACATCTAGCCAAGTGGGGGGGAGAGAAATGGGAAATATGAAATGATACATATGACACACATTTATCCCACCACTTCCCATTTTTTAACCCCCCAGTGTGTCGTTAAATTTCGGTCTTATATCTTGATGAGGTCCTTTAAAACCTGTGAACATCTTCCAACATGCTTCAGCTTTTAAATAGGAAAGTCTTCGATGATCTAGAACCCTGTTAAAGGCTATGGTGAAACTTTTATTTGACATGGAATCTAACGTGGTCTGTTTTTATTCAAACATATCTGCTCTAAATTTTACATTGAGCTCTCTGGATATCATCCTCCTCAGGTCTACCCATACGGATTACCTAAGTTTGCATGAGCTAAATATATATATGTTGAAACTTGAATAAAGCATGGAATAATAATAATACAACACAAAATGTACTTAAAACAAAATGTATTGACACAAGAACGTACACAATATTTACAGATAGTTTGGTATATTCTTGGGAAGACCGTTCCTGTAGAATGGGTTGACTTAATCGCAGTCGGGCAGAGTATCTGGATTGGATCTCTTCTTCCTCCCCCTCGTCTTCCCGGTACCAACTATATTTATATGGTCGGTACTCCACTATGTAAATTAGGTGGATCCTACCACAACAATATATATATATATATATATAAATATAAATATATATATATATATATATATATATATATTAAAGAAACAGAAAAAATGTATGACAAATTTTATCTTTCATGATTAAACAATAAATAAATAACCAGCCGCCCGGTTTCTCCCTTACTCAACATAGGTGGAAATCGACGAAATAAGTGTCACAATATAAAAATATATAAGACATACATACATTTTTGCAAAAGGGGAAACAATCTAGATGGAAATAACAGACTAACAGATCCGCCCTCTGTTTACAGAGTGCGAGTGGTCTGGACCTGGCATAAATTGTTTTTAATATATATGAACTTAATTTCAATTCTTCATAAGCTATGGTTAATTAATGATGAACATATATCATTTTCTTTTATGATCGATTTCATGACGATTCTTCTATTAAGCTTGAAGAGTAAATATCCCATCTTATTGCTCACAGTAAAGTTCAACAGTATTATAAAGTAATCCTCTCAGTAAAATTTCTAACAGAAATACACTAAAACTAAACTATAGTTGTACCGACAATCTTGAAAAAATTATTCAAAACGTAATAATGAAATTTTAAATAAATGCAAAAACCCGAGTAATAATAGCCTTTCTAACCAAATCACGCCTATAATAGCAACAACTGTAATTGTAGTAATCCTAACATCTGCCCATTGCAAAACTGATGTCTGAAAACTGACACCATTGTTTGCCTAAGCTCTATTTCTACTATATATAATGCGATAGTTAAAAAATTATATATTGGAAGTACAAATAATTATTTAAAAACTATTTGGTATCAACATATATTATCTTTCATCAGTAACTATTATAAAAATATGATGCCCCTTTCTAAATATTTTTGGAACTTAAAAGAAGTTAACAAAAACCCTACGGTAAAATGGAAAATACTAAAACAGCTAGAACTTGTAAATCTTTAAATGCACCTTACTTATGCTTACATGAGAAATTAGAAATTATCCGATTTGCTGATAAAAATTCTCTATTAAACAAAAGAAGTGAATTATCTGTGAAGTGCAGACAAAATTTATCTTTTACCTCTTCATAAATCTTTTACCTTTTCGGATTTAGTATTACTATGTATTGCTGTCTACTTAGTGTTATTAATATATTATATAGATTTTCTACATTTTTTTTAATTTTATCTACAGGTTCTTTAAAGAAGCTTCCTGAATCTGAATGTTTTCAAAAAAATTTCTGTTGAAATTAACTTTACGTCTGATTATTCTCGTACCACTCCACAAAATGTCATTTGAAAAATTGAGCATGTCATATTTGTCTAGAATCACAATACATTTGTTGCTTGCATGTTTAACGCAAATGTCAATGATGACCTGCGTAAGTTCAGGTTTATAATGTCATGAAAAAATAACTCCCCCACCTCCACACACTGAGCTCAGTTTTCTATTTAGCATAGATCTGACACAAGTCTATTTTTAATTCCGACCATGTGTTTCCTCACCCCTTTATCTTTCGAAAAAAAAAAGAGGTAACACTTTGCTTTTGAAATTTTCTTAAAAAAATCATTTAATCACCAAACACTTAACATCGCCTGAAGAAGAACAACATAGTACCGAAACCTAGTACTGCCACTGTAGCGATTTCAACATGTTTTTGTTCTAATCTCTAATAATATATTGATCTACACTGTATTGAGCACTTTAAAAAAATGATAACGACAGTGAAATTTTACTCATTTGTTCTTTCTCACATTTCGATACACACACACATATATATATATATATATATATATATATATATATATATATATATATATATACATATTTATATTTGTGTGTGCGCGCGTGTGTATTGTGTGTGCGTGTGTGTGCATGTGTGTATGTATGCATATGTTTGTATGGGGGTAGGTGTAAACAAACATATACAGGAAAACATTCATTATATATTAAACCAAAATTTGGCACCTGTTCAACTTCGAAATAGAAGGAACTTGATTTAATATGGCAACGTTTAATCTTGAAGATGGCGCGGAAAACCTACATTATGTCTGGATCATGTTTCTCGTTCACGTTATCTACAACGTTAACGATTTCCTCCATTAATGTGTTCTTGGTATTGTGCTACATATTGTTTGCGTCACACTCAAAGACTCCATAAATAGTAATCCAAGGGATCAACATCTAAACTCAGAATCAATATATTGAGGAGCACATATTTTATATTTTACGTTGTCATCAAAACCGTCTTTAAAAATTATGTGAACCTTTCCAGTTGTAAAATTATGACTGCTTGATATAATCAACAATTTGGTGGATAACTGAAGAAAACGAAAAAAAAAAAAAATAACGTCCGTCACGCGTTTCGTCCATAAAAAGACATTATCCAGGGAATATTTTCTTATCAATGGAATCAATAGTAAATTTAAATTTAAAGCTAAGTGTCTCTGTATCTTTAACAATTTTTATGCAAAATTGTTATTGCCATTTGCCCCTTTCTTCCCCAACCATATATATATATATATATATATATATATATATATATTATTATATATAAAAATATTTCATTGTTAAAAAAAGGTTTCATTTTCAAAACAAGAGTTGAAAACTTTCAATATAATTATTTAATTATAATTATATTGACGTTTTTTATCTTGTTTTGAAACATGAGAACTTTTTATGTAGGATGTAATCATATTTTTAAATAAATAATTTTATTTAGGCTCTCACTTTTTGTTTCGAGCAATATTTTTGTAATAATAACAAAAATACTAAAGAACTTTGGATTATTTACCTAACGAGTTCTTTCCTATTTTTATATATTTTCACAAACACACACACACACACACACACACACACACACACACACACACACACATATATATATATATATATATATATATATATATATATATATATATATATATATAAATTGTGTATTGCAGATTATTATTCAAACAT